TTTAAATAAGGACGTCTGTCTGTAGTAAATGGACCCCATCCATATAACATGAACGGGAGTCCATGTAAGTGAACAATCGTCCATATTTGATGAACGGTTGTTCACTAGAAAATAATAAAAATAACGTGAAACGTGTCTAGTTTGCTGGTGTGAATCGAGGGACACGTAGGCCGGTACAACATTTTGGTGCAAAAATCCCGGTGTTTGTAGCATTTTTGTTTCAACTAAAACAGCAAAAAGGGCTTAAATGTTATAGAATTAGAAGTTTAGGTTAAAATTAATAACCAAACTATTAATATGTTTTTGTTCTTATTTTTTTGTATTATATGTGTTTTAAATCTAATATGGATTGTTTTTTACAGTTTCTTGATTGCAATTGGAGTCGTTGTAGGGAGAATCTGCACCAAGCCCTCGCCCAATAGCTAAACAACATTATCCAATGCATTTGCTTCACATTCAGGATACAATATACCCCTTTCACCTTTGCCCAACTATTGCCATATTGGGCCCCTCCCCCCTGACATACTGAAAAATCTTGTCATCAAACAGATAATCTGCAATGACACCTTTAAAATCCTCTGCGGCATTCTTTTCCGTTTCACTCCTCTTTTTGCTACTTCATCATTTGCCTGTTTCATTAAGGCATGATATTGGCTTCTAGGCTCTGGTCGAAAGACACATCAGTTATGGCACATTACTAATCATAGATATCAGCATAAATAGTTTGTCTCGTCATTATAAGTGTCAACACATCATCAATGTGCTGCATCAATCAATCAATCTTGTTCTCTACAAGCGATATGTTTAGAAAAAATAGATTGCTTAAGCGATAACAGGATACGTTATGGGAAAAATAAGTCATCGAGTCGTGAACCCGGCAACCCATTCTTAGCATGTCATCAAACCATTTTCGAGGATAATCTCTGATCTTGCACTTGATCCATATGTGAATTATTTCCCTATTGTAATATGCATAAAATGATTTTTTCTTTTTCTACTCTATTGGCTTGAATAAATCGACCTTTAACCCCTTTATTTTTTCACCACTTCCACCAACTTCCTCACTTCCATCAACTTTCTCTTTATCATCCTCTCCAACTCCCTCTTTATCTTTCCTAGTTTTCCTTCTCTTATTATACCTTATTTTGGTGAACGGATATTTGACATGCTTGCTTTTCCGACTCTCTCTTTTCTTCGGTTCTTCAACCATTCCCATAACTAGATCAAGTTTCTTCTCAACTCTCTGCATCCTCTCTTCCATTTTTTCAACTTTTTCACAAATAGTATTCAAAATGTCAAACTTATAAAGGTTGTTTCTAAGGTCCACCACTTCAAACTACGTGTGCCTTGGCAAATCGGTAGTTGGTGTACGGGTTTTCAAATTGGAAGGAGGCATACGGGTCTGACCATCTATATCTTCATCCAGCAAACTCATCTGTCTCAGGTGCTACACCTTCAGCCTCAAAAACATGCTCCACATGCGGCCCTTCAATTGTAGTCAAATGTGTCACTCCTTCTAGGTCCTGAGTCAGGTGTTCTATACTCTCATCCTAAACATTGTCTAGTGGTACGAAGGACATAACGTAATCCATCTAGAATTCACCTCTAGTAGGAGTGACGAACGGATGAACCACTCCTTGTAATAAGAAAAAAAATTTACAAAATCATTTAATCTTTTAATCAACAGAGCCCATACCAACATTCCACTAAAGTATCGCTTAAACGATTTGGCAAATCTCTTAAACGATATTTAAATACAAATACATATTCAAAATACAAATCCTTCAATCTTACCTGAGCCTCTTGAATTTCCACTTCTATTTTATTATAGTCCCAATGGTTGTTCTTCTCGGTTTGTCACCGCAACATCATAGGAAATGGGATCGACGCCTCCTTCCGCCCCCCGGCCTTACCAAAGACAGGGATAATCTCATACAACCAAACCAATATTGTAAAAAATCAATCCATATCATATTTAAAACACATATAATACAAAATAAAAATAACAAAAACCCATTAATATTTTGGTCATTATTTTAACCCTAAACTTCTAATTCTATAACAGTTAAGCCCTTTTTGCTGTTTTAGTTGAAGTTAAGTATGCCACGTCAAGAAATTCCAACTAAAAGATAAATAAAAAATATTTTCATGTTCATTTTCTCAATTGCAAACTTGAAATGTCTCGGTAGTTAAATTGTCTCGGTTTCTTTGGTGCAGGAATTATAGATGGCATCAAGATAACAAAGTCCATGGTTGATCACTCTATTGCATTGTCCTAAACAAAAATTAACCCTAATTATATGCATCTTGGTATTTCAGTTTTTACACATGAATTCCACAAAGGTTTATCCAAAAATTTAAAGCATTTTATCCTCCATCCATAGTTCCTAGGCCTAATGTTTAAGAAAATGTAAATGCTATAATACATCAAGTTCTAGATATAAAGCCTACTGTAAAATAACCTGAAAAAGATGAAAAGAAGTTTTCTATTGTTAAGTAAATTATTAAGTTTGAACAATAAGGAGAAAGGATTTGAAGATTATATTGCAACTAACGAAATCACTGTTGGGATTGTACCTCGAATCCTATATTGTTGGAGAAAGGGAGTTGCAATGGGACTTTCCCCTTTAAATAGACTAGTAGATTGGACTTTTAAAGTATCTCAAAAAATGTAAAATAGACACCAAAATAATAGTCATTGTGGGCTATTATTAAGGATGTAATTGGGCTTTTTGGGATGGTGTAAGGAGTTTGCAATTTTTCTCTTCTAAAAATTGCACAGTTGTAAGCTTTTGCTTAGTGGATTGTTTGAGTGAACAGTGGACGTAGGCTAAATTGAATGGGCCGAACCACTTTAAAATTCGTGTATTTGGTTTGCTTTAATTTTGCATTTGAGTTGTGGGAATTCTTGTTCAACAAGTGGTATCAAAGCCCACGGTTTCGTGATTTGGGAGAAGGCAACCTCTAAAGGAGGTTGGATTTAAGAGTAGATTGACGACTTTTTTTTGGAGGTATGTCTAGTTTTGAGGTTCCTTTTTTTAATGGTAAAATTAATTTTATGTTATGGCAAAGTACGATACAAGACCTTTTGATACAACAAGGTAGAGAGTAAGCCAGAGAAGATGTCTGATAGAGAATGGAATAGAATTCAAAAGAGAGCTGTCAGTACAATCAGATTGGCTTTAGCTCCAGAGATAAAGTACAACATGCTGACTGAGTCTACACCAAAGGGCTTGTGGGAAAAATTTGAGGGTATTTATGCGTCGAAATCGTTGACTAATAGATTGTGTTTGAAGATGGATCTGTATTCTCTGAAGACGGATGAAGGTAAGAGTCTCCATGATCATTTAAATGAACTTAATAGGCTAGTATATCAATTGTTGGCTATTTCTGAGAGTTAAATGACAAAGAAAAAGCATTGATATTGTTGTCATATTTGTCTAAATATTATAGACCTTTAGTTCAAACTTTGTTGGTAGGCAAATCTACTTAAAAATTAGATGATGTGATTGCCTTATTACGTGAGAATGAAAGGTTTATGAGATCAGATAACTCATCACTTAGAGGAGATCTACTAGTTGCAGAAGGTTCTAATCGAGGGATGACTCAAGAGAGTGGTGATAAATCAAAAGTCAGAGATTACAGTAATAAGGAGTGTTATTATTGTGGAGAGAAGGGATATATCCAACCACATTGCAAGAAATTAAGGGAGGATATGATTGCTTTCAAGAAGGCTCAACAAATGAAGGATTTGAAGGATGATGCTTGGGTCCTTGACAATGAAGGTGAATTTCTAGTAACATGTCAAGATGAATCTCAAACTTCAAAGGCTGAAAAAGGTTGGGTTTTATATTCTGCTACATGTATGCATGTTTGTAATGAAAAAAATGTTTTGTTAAATTGAAAGAAGATGGAAATTATGGAAATATTGTTGTCGGTAATAACGAGAAAGTGAAGATTGAAGGCGTTGGTAGCATTCATCTTAAGCTTCACAATGGTGTTTTCAAGAAGCTTCGTCATGTGAGGTATGTTCTGAGTTGTAGTCACAATTTGATTTCTTTGGGTGAGTTGGCTTCTCATGAATATACCTACATTGGTCAAATAGATGGATACGAAGTGTATAAAGATGATGTTCTGATTTTGCAAGGCAAAAGGAATGAAAAACAACCATCTTTGCTTGATAAAGGTGTGTGTCTTAAGAAATCAAGAGATCAAGTTGTTCAAGTTCCTGTTGTTGAAGAAAAGAAGATTGTGAATCGAGTAAGATTTTCGAATGCTACTGCGATGTTTGAGGATTCAAGTCAATGGAGGAATTGTTGGGATTGTGCCTTGAATCCCATATTGCTTGAGAAAGGGAGTTGCAAGAGGATCTCCCCTTCAAATTGATTAGCAGATTGGACTTTTAAAGTATCTCAAAAAGTGTAAAATAGACACTAAAATAATAGTCATTGTGGGCTCTTATTAAGGGTGTAATTAGGCTTTTTGGGATAGTGTAAGGAGTTTGCAATTTTTCTCTTTTAAAAATTATACAACTGTAAGTTTTTGCTTAGTGGATTTTTTGAGTGGATAGTGGACATAGACTAAATTGAATTAGCTGAACCACTTTAAAAATCTTGTGTTTGGTTTGCTTTATTTTCTGTTGTTTGCTTTAATTTTTGTTTGAGTTGTGGGAATTCTTTTTCAACAATCACTTGTTACTACCTTAACTTTCAAACTTTTTTCCAGAAATCAAACCCGGCTTTAATTGATAGCAACTTCATGTTATTTTCATGGTGAAAACACAAATAGATGTATCAAGCTCATTAGTTTGGTATTCTTGGGAATCAGAAATGTGAATGTGAGATGTCCAAAAATCAACCTGCTGTTTCATCCCAATAGCCATATACCTTATTTGAAATCATCAAAATAACATATAAATGATGTGAACATTCCCAAATAAATTTACAACAGTAGGCCAAAAAAGGATTGGAGATAAATATCATGAACTTCAGGGCAGATAGCTAACGAGCTTTCAACAAAGAAATTGTTACTTCATTCACCGAACAGGCTTGTGGCCTTCTTTCAGGTGAGTTTGAATTTTGCATACTTCTCACATAAGAGAAAGCAGGCTGTTTGGGAGAAGGTAAAGCAACAAGTTCATTTGTAAGCATTGAGACTACTTCTGACATAGTAGGTCTATCCGCTGCATTCTCTTGAACACAGAGAAGGGCGACATTAATGTATCTCATCAGCATGGGATATGATGCTTCATTTTCCAATTCTGGATCCATTAGTTCCTGAGCTCTATCAGCTTTCCATAGATCCCACGCCTGCAGAAAATAACAGAACATTGGTAGATTAAATAAAGGTCAAAAGTAGTTGACAATGTTAGTCCTAGTGACAGGAATTTCCTGAAAAAAAAAATATATAATAAATCATCTTAATTCAACCTTTCTGAAAAACTGAAGAGAAAAACATTTTTCACTTACAAGTCCAAGAAGATTAAGAGAGTCACTGTGGTAGAAACCAGTGTTCTTTTTGCTGCTCACTATCTCCAACAGCAGCACTCCGAAGCTAAACACATCAGATTTTATGGAGAAGAGGCCTTCCAGGGCATACTCAGGCGACATATAACCACTGAATTCAATCATTTCATCAAATTATCAGAAGAACAAATGCATTTACAAAGGATTTAAAATTCATTCAATATTCCAGATTTACTTACTAAGTTCCCACAATCCGTTTAGTATTTGCTTGTAACTCATTGCCACCAAACATTCTTGCCATGCCAAAATCAGATATTTTAGGGTTCATGTCACTGTCTAACAGAATATTACTAACTTTTAGATCTCTATGAATAATTCTTAGTCTAGAATATTCATGAAGATACAAAATCCCTTGAGCAATCCCTTCAATGACTTTAACACGTATTCCCCAACTTAAAAGACCTTTCTTAGTTGGATCTGTTTCAAAATCGTAAGGTAAATATATAAAGAAATTAGACACCATAGTAAGGTACTGCACATATTAAATTTGTGAAGAATGAATAATCACAGACCAAAAAGGAATGAATCTAAGCTTTTGTTAGGCATGTACTCATAGACCAAAATCTTTTCGCCTTGTTCAATACAGCAACCCAAGAGTCTTACAAGGTTCCTGTGTTGGAGCTTAGCAATAAGCATCGTCTCATTTTTCAACTCTTCTAGTCCTTGCCCTGACTGCCTCGAGAGCCTTTTCACTGCAACTTCTTGTCCATTAAGTAGTTTCCCCTGCAATTGAACTTCATGAATTCAAGAACATGAAAAGCAAAAGATAAACTCAATCGATCGCCTTGCATAATGTGGTGGAAAGTTTAGGAATGCTACCTTATAGACAGGTCCAAAGCCACCTTGTCCTAGTTTGTTTTCTGCAGAGAAATTATCTGTAGCAGTTGATACACTTGAAAAGCTGAACAGCGGCAACCAAGCACCTTTACTTTTACGTGTGCCAGATTTATCTACATTGGAGAGTTCATCCGCACTTGTTCCAGTACTCATATTTACATCAAATAGTAACATATCCTGGCTTGTTTCTGCTTCTTCTGTTTTGGTAAGATAACACTTAAAATATAAATGCAAATGTGTAGACATACATGACATGGGAGGGTGAAGAGATAAGAGAATTACCTTTCTCTTTTAGTTTTTGCCTCCGTTGATAAAAGATGTAAGAAGCAAGGAGAGCCACAGGAACTACTAGTACAATTATCCATAGAAGCTTTTTATTTCCTATAGATCCGAAAATATATATTCGGTCAAAAGAATTCCTTAATGAAGAAAGTACGGAAGATTACAAATAAAGTTACCTCCGGATTTTTGAAGCTCTGAAGCAGCAAGTTTGATATATATTGTTCGTCCATCAGGATCTCTTTTTGAAAGTTGTTCTAGATTCAATAGCTCTCCATCCCATAGAAGACACACACCACTGCTATTGTGAGCATATGCAGTACAAGAACATTCATTAAAGCAAGCGGATTCACATTGCTTTACAGCTGAAGCTTTCAATTCTTTAGGTCCTAAAGGAAACTTTAAACAGCATCCATCCTCAAGAATCTGTCTTTATCGCGCTTAAGAGAAGTGCTATCCTCCAATACAATGGTGTTCTTCTCACACACCCAGAAGAAGTATCTCACTCCCTATTGTTTGAGGCCTAAAACCACGCAGGCAAGGCATAACGATCATTTCATTTGCAATGCCAACGGCCACAATACGCATAAATACTACAATCTCTTGGTTGAGACCAGAAAATAAACCACGCCTGACTTTTCTGCACCCATGAAAGTTGTCTATCCCTCCTGAAACACATTTGAAATCGACTAATAGTAGAATCTTTCATAGAATAAGTGAAGTATGTCTCATTTTCATCACTATGAAAACTATAATTGAAGATATAGTTTAATGTCATTTCAGGCATTTGACTGAAATGATCCCCATCCAAACTCCACTCCTCCAAGAAATCCAGAACCCTAGTAAGGAACACCTTCATTTGATTGTGGGATCCATTTTCAGTCAGCCATCCGAGTTAGGATCTTGGCATCTTTCCATGATTTTAATGACCACACTTTTCCAGACTTTGTGCTATAACCGAATTTCATTCCGGAAGAAGAGTATCTGAAGGGTTGTCAAAACTCTGCCACACTATACCAAATTCCCATTTCTTAAAACAAAATTCCCTGAATCTAACAGAATGGCCAGTTATTCTGCTTAGTGAATTTTCAGTCACCTGTAAGTAATTTTTCCATCCTCGATTACAATATTTCCCTCATTGTTAATGGTAAGTGCTGGTGAGCCACCAGTTAAGGAAGATTCTGTTGGCAACCCATACTACAGTTTTTTGAGAAATTTTCTTGTACCATATTCCCACATAATAATTTGTTGAATTCCCCAATGAGAAAAACCCCAACTCAAAGGTGTTACCTGAAGATACTATAGTTTCTGAGCGAGTAATTACTTCTCCTTGTGAATGCTATCGTGACTGCATCCACCTTAATGGTGAACTGCATGGCAAAGAAGGAGAATATCAGCGAGAAAATAATTAAAGAAACTTTCCACTTAAATATTCTTGATGTTACCCATTGACATCATCCACAATACAAAGCGGCCTTAATTAACAGTTGGCTTCCAGATCAAAGTTTTGCAGCTGTGACTTCATGGCTTCATGTATATGTGATAGGCTTCCTTTTGTCAATCTGACACCTTCGAATTTTATTTTGAAAGAAAAGAACAAAACTGTGGTTTTAGTCTGCTTCTCATAGATTTAGTAACACCAACAAAATGATGTGATCTGGTTTATTTTTCATAGTCAATAACTTGAAATTAAACAGATTTGCAGCCATGCCTAAGCTTAGGGAAATTAATTAATAGCTTGTGGGGCACATGTTTGATTTTTCTAACCTAGATATGTAAATTATTTACTTCTAATCCCAGAACCTAAATCTTCACTTCAGCTCTCTTCCTCGCAACTGCAATAATATTACTTCCCTTCACAGAAGTCAAACTCAACTGGGTCAAATGATAATTTATCCAATCCGTCTGATTTTGTGGAGACATTAATGAATAAAAGGGATTGTTTATTGGCTGATTAGTCATAAATACATATATAATATGAAATATTTAATATCTTCTTACAATGACACAAAATGCTTAACTAGTGAAGGCTCTTCTTGATGGAGCTGACAAAAACAATATTTAACTTGAAAGCTTTTCTTTGATCGATGTAATATAAATAATATGTGGAAATGGAAAAGTTGTCACTTAGCTATAAAGATTATAGACTGAATTTGGACAAGTCATAAGATCTAGAAAGTTAAATGAGTGGCTTGATTTATTTCTTTTGTTTTTTGACCTTGAACCCTTCCGCAAAAGTTGAAACTAAACCCACCAAACCTTAGAAAATTATTGAAGTTGAATTTGTCTATATCGTCAAATTGGTGGTTATTATGATGTTATAATGTAGTTGGATTAGCTTTTGGGAGTGATTCTATCCAACATTTATCATGATATAAAACCCGTTTATTTAAGCAATGAGAGGTTGGACCCAATATGCACCTAAGCGTAAAGGAGGGTATTGAAGTTAAATTTGTCCTACACCAAGTTAGTGGCTGTTGCTCACGCCCACTATCAATCTACAACCACAAAATAACTTAGCAGTAAAAGTAATGGCCACCACAATTAACTGAAAAAACATTTTTCTTTTTTTCCTCTGTTCTCATGGCAAGAAAAGAAGTCTCACTGTTACAAGATCGTTGCAGAATTTAATATCCAGTTGACTGTATTTGAAGAACAAACAGCACAATAGGTCCATAAAGCTAACTTGCAGATTGAACATCAACAGCCTGAACTGTATCAAATAATACTTTGTACAATATATCCTTAATAATTTTCAAATCTGTGGACCCAATTCATTGTGAACATGTGTGTGATATCTTCGTTAAAATTCCACAAAAGTTGTGTACTGATCAGAGGACTTGCTGAAGCCTAAAGGCAGAACATTTGCCGATGCATCAAAGAAATGGAGGAAGACTAGTAATAACACAAAATTAAAAAGGTATTATCGTCATGACCACGGACATTGTTACCCCATGCAGAACAATGTCCAGAGCTACTTCCACAGACATCTGATTCTCTTGGAGTCTTGTTAATGAAAATGTCGGTTTCTGTGGTGCCGGAATTACTCGTTCATTGCCCAAAATGAACACAACAGAGTCCATGGTGGGTCGGTCTGCTGCATATCCTGAAACAAAGAAAACCCACTTGTATGCATCTTGAACTTCGTTTTCCACATGTGAACTCTGGAAAGGTTTATCCAGCAATTCAAGCATTCTGTCTTCTCCATAGTTCCCAAGCCTATATGTTTTTGAAAACTGCATGTTATGATTCATTAAAGGTGAAGTTTAGAACCTGAAGGGACAAAGAATTTTTAGTTTTCGAAACTTACATGTCCCAGAAGGTTTACATTCGGTCCAGGAGGCAGAATCCAGCATTTCTTTTCACTCACAATCTCAAGCAACAAAACTCCGAAGCTGAAGACGTCTGATTTAACTGAAAAGAAACCTTCCATGGCATACTCTGGGGACATATAGCCGCTGCATTTCAAAATGAAATCATGTAGACATCAATGCATTTTGTCGTACACTTGTTTCTCAGAAACGAAACAACTGATTAACTCAATATACTTACTAGGTGCCAACCACTCTCCTAGTATTTTCCTGGTTTTCTTTCCTCCGATATTCTTGCCATGCCGAAGTCTGAGATTTTCGGATTCATCTCTGCATCTAGTAAAATATGCTGCTTTTAGGTCGCGTGTATAATTCTTAATCGAGATCTCGATGAAGATAAAGAAGTCCGAGCTATCCCTTCAATGATGTCAAACCGGTTTTCCAGATAATTTTTCTCCTTTTGTAGAATCTGCAGGAAATTAAAATTTAATAAACTAGAATTTGATTGAAAAAAAGATGTTCAGGAAAAAATAAATAAATTCACATGAGAGACAAGATGGTGCTAAGCTAACCAAAAAGAAATGAATCCAGGCTTTTGTTGGCATGTATGTATAACAGAAGTTTCTCATTCCTGAATGCAGCAACCAAAAGTCTGACAAGATTTCTATGCGTAGTTTGCAATAAGAATGACTTCGTTTTCGAACTCTTGCAGCCCTTGTCCTGAACCTTTAGAGAGTCTTTTCACAGCAATCTCCTGTCCATGGCAACTTCCCTGTAACATAAATCTCTGTATCAAAAGAAGTTTATTTCTGAAACCTGTTTAAGTAAAACAGGATTGCCAAATCAAGAAATTTTACCTTGTAAACAGGACCAAACCCTCCTTCTCCAAGCTTATTTGCGAATGAGAAATCATCGTGGCAGTTCTCACAACACCCAAGGAAATATTGGTAGTCTGGTCCTTTCCTGGATTTTTTGGTGACAATAGCATCATCAAACTTGTCTAACAAATGCTGTTTGAATTCATGGGAGTTTCCCACTGCGGCAACTGCAAGTCCCCGTGTCTGTGGCCTTTTTTAGTACCTATAATACAAACATCAATTAATATGAACCCATATGCCACATAAAGTAAAAGTAGACTTCAGAAATCACTTTTATAATAAGAATACCTTTCTTTTTTTGATCATTCTCATCATGCATGTGAAGATGACAAAGAGCAGAGTCAAAATGACTACTGATGCAACCACCGATATGATGAAAATCAACTTCCTTTTGCTCTTACTACCTTCACAAAAAATCATATATACTTTGTCATCTAATTATTTCACTCAAAAATAATCATGCAAGTACGTAGAATGTTTTGTCGACTATTGTCATGATCTATATATATTGAAGGAAGAAATACAGAATTTGTAACAAAGATAAAAGCATCCTTTCAATCGGACTTGGAAAGACGCAAGTACAAGTCCTGTCCGCCTCGTCAATATCTGATATCCTCAAACTGTCCCGCCATGTCAAGCAACCCAATCCTCCTCATATGCAAAAGCAATACAACTGCAGTTTTTCTGACATGTCTTCACATTCATTGTTTCCTGAGCAACCTCCAATATAGATTTATCCGGCAACTTCACGTTAGATAATTTAAAAACCATCTGTAGTGCTTCCGTCCTCGCACTCAAAGTCTTCCTCACACACCCACCACTCCAATTTCCTAGTTTCCATTCCTCAGCAGAATTAGGCTCAAACCCTTTTAAGCAGCTGCAAATATCAGGACCTTTTTCCAATTACAGCTCCCATTTGGACCACATTTCCCATACCATTGGCATTCATTTTCGGTTGTGACCAAACAATGTCCCATGAGTTCGTCTCATTTCTCCAGTATGATCTTCCAGCTTCCCAGAGGAACTCAACACAAAACTTGAAGGGGCAGACACATTTACGCTAGAATATGTACTGTTAACTTCCCGTTATCATTACTTTAATAAGTTGAAGTTATAAAGATGAAAAGATGTCATTTCCGGTACACTGAAAATGTCTGCCCATTCAAATCCCACTTTCCAATACGTAGTGAACGTTCCATATTATAATCTGCGCATTCCACTGGGATCAAAACCTAGTGAGAACTTTCCGGAGCTGGATTATTGTCACTCCTCCAATCTGTAAGGAGCTGGTTCTCACCCGTCATCAAATCAATCCAAATTCATATCAGCTAGGAAATTGTCAGTGGGATGATCAAAGCTTTGCCACAAAATATTATCATCACTATCACTTTCACTTCCATTTCTCAGTACAGATTTCCAGTCTTCAGGAGCTCAAAAACTGAGTGTTCGTTGTTAATGTAGCATTTGATGACCAATGTATGTTCGAATTACCATCAAGAACCACCAAGTTTCCATCTTCCATATCCTGAAAATTCTGAGAAGTACTTCACGGGATCTTCCTATTTGCCACCCAAACAGCAGTCTGCTCTTCACATCGCCAAACCATATCCCAAAATATCTGTAAGTAGAATTCCTTGGACTAAAGAAACCAAGTTTAAAACTTCCATCATCTGAAACATCACCTCGCCATCTCTGATATTCCTGGTTGAATTCATAGTTTCGCACGAACTGCATGGCGAAGAGACAATGATAGAGCAAGACAAAAGGAGCGTACATGGAACTCTACTTTCACGTCCATTTGGTAGCAAAGAAGCAACCGCAATTCCACGTTGTAACTGTATAGTAAGGTAGGGAACATAATGTATATATCGTAATTTTGCACCAATAAAAGAAGGAGATGATAAATTGTTGGAATTGTGACTATTTCAATATTAATGGTCAGCAGACGCATTCGGGGGTCTGTTGAAGATTTTTTTTTAAGTTATTAATTCTTATTAGGTTTGACTTAAGAATAGAAATCTACTAGGTCTTATCTTTTAAACATTGTAATAAAAACATTTTTCTCTTATAAGGTAATAGCAATCATAGGATAAATTATTTATTGTAAACCAGAGAGGTGATGTAGATTGAAATAATATTGACTCTATTAGACATAGTGTTAATTGAGTGAACCAAGATAATCCCCGTACTTCTTCTTCTTTACTATTGTGGTTGTGTGTGTTTTTATTTTGGTTTGCGTATCATTCTTATTTCATTCATAAATCATAAGTTACCTTAGTCTATATTCTATCATTCTATGTGAGTATATTTTTGGTTATAAGATGAAACTCAGAGTCAATTGGCGGCAAATTTTTGTCGATGATTGTTTAGTTGGAGACGATATCAACTGAGATAGTGTTTGATTGAACATGAACGTCTTGTGGCTTATGTTTCACTTCTACTTTGATAAAATGACTCAAATTTGTTTCTAATATTTTGTTCCCGCCGTCTGTGGCGGCAATCAATTTCTATATATATAAAGGGAAAAATAATTGGCTGAGGCCTGAAGGAGGAAAAACTGTATAGGCTGCAACTTGAGATTTTGATATTAACGTGATGGAAAGGACTAACACTCACAGACGGGGGAACAAGAGAGGTGAAAGAATGAGTCAAGGCTATAGGCATAAGAGTCAAAAATCGAATAATTAGGTTAATTTGTTTACCACTTTAGCCGCATGGAGAGATGGTTGCAAATTAACTATAATATTTTTGAACAAAGTTAGTAGGAAGCCCTATGGAGCTTGATGGGTGGCAACCTTGATTAATTAGATCATGTAAGGTGAATCCTCAAAAAGAAGTCTTACAATATTTAGTGTCGGAGTGTTTCTCGTACTAACATTAAAAGCATCTATCAAATGTTTTTCATGGTATCTAAAATCATGTTATAAAATCACATTTGTTAAGTTGGGATTTCAAAGAAAATCAGTCAATGAGAATAAAAGATGGAAAATTTTATTCTAAAAATAGTTTTTACTAGTTTACCTTCAGGAAATTAGGCTTTTATTTTATTTGTTTCACAGTACTGTCAATGATAATTTTCAAAACATTAAAACGCGTCAAAAATAAATTATAATTATATGAATAAAATAAATTATCGATTATCATTATGTTAAAAATTATAAATTATATCATTTTTTTTTTTTTTTAAATCTCCCTCTCTTCCCTTGAATTCTTGGCTCTGCCACACTTACGCTGAATCAAATAAATAGTTGCAAGACAAATTCAAAACCAGTTAAACTTGTTCTTTAGCCTTCTTTCTTCTTGTTTTGGAGATACTTTTTAACATGACTATGATATAGATTTATATCTGACAAATTTTTTAAAGGCCGATTCCAAGCTACAAAGAACTTGTCAATTGTGATCTGTTATTAAACATTTATGTGTATTTAATTTGTTTCAAAAAGACCCATAATTATAAAACTCAAAAAAAATGATATCGATCATAATTAAATATAGATTTATTAACAATTAATTAGTAGAATCTATACAAGACCATTGTGAACTGATCAATTATAAATTTTCGTATCAGAATTGTGAAAAAAAGTTATTAATATAATATATTCTTTAATAAATGAATAGATTTCAAGTTATAAACGGCGGAATGTGAATGATTCCATAGAAGAAAAATAAACAAAATCAAAATTCTGTTTTCCCGCTCCCTCCACAAACTAGGTCCTGTTTCTAGAATAAAGAGTACTATTATTAATTAAATTTCAAAAATTTAATATTTTTTGCCACTGTCCGGCTGAAACTGAAATGTTAGAGTTTCCTAAAAAAATAAAAAATACAAATAAAAAAACTTTAGAAATTGAAAAAAATATAATTAAATAAGATTTAAGCTATTTAACCTTTTTTTTTTTTACACTACATCAAAATCCAAGATAGCTTTTAGCTCTTCAAAAAATAAATTGTTTTTTTTTTTTTAACGACCAAGGGTATTGATCAGTTGCACGTATCTTAACAATTTTCAAAATCCTAAAGAAATACTGGTCGAAAAAGAGGTTCAACGACTATCCATATTAACTAACAGAGCAAATCCCTTATTTGCTGATTTAGTTGTAACTGGATTTTAAATCTTTTGAATATTCTATCTGACTTGTATAAGTTGTTTCTACTGTTACCTACAACTAGGAGTTAGTTTTGCTGATTTAGTTTACAAGTTTAAACACTTTTGTATCTATAAATACTCAATTACATCAATAGAACAAATATACCATTATTCCTCCCAATCTCCTTCTCTGTTATGGTATCAGGCTTTAGATGTTTTTTTTTTTTTTTCTCTTCTCTTTTAACCTGTTGCTATGACAACCGAGACTACCAACAACTCCTCTGCTACAGCAATTTCCAATACCAATGATCCACAAAATACTCTGATTAACATTAACATTGCAGCTCAAGCCCCTCTCAAACTCACCACTAAGAACTATATCTCCTGGAAATTACAATTTCAGACACTCTTCATCGGATATGACCTCCTTGGGTATGTTGACGGATCAAAAGCATGCCCGACTGCAACTATCCCTCATAATGAAGTTGTAATACCAATTCTAACCCACATAATATGGATTCGGCAGGATCAACTCATACTCAATGCAATAGTTGGTTCCCTTTCTCCTACCCTTATTCCCTTTATCGCTCGAGCCAAAACTTCACGACAAGCTTGGACTACATTAGCCAATACTTATGCTCAGCCTTCTCGTTGACGGATCAAGAAGGTTAAAAGTCAACTCAAAAATCTCACAAAGGGCTCACAAACTATTACTAAATTTCTACATATAGTTAAAACCCAAGCTGATGAACTCGCAATCCTTGGAGCACCACTTGATGATGAAGATCTAACCGAGACAATACTTGATAAACTTGGTGATGATTGTAAAGAACTTGTTCGTGCAATTCAGGCCAGAGATGATCCGATTGGATTCGATGAACTACATAAAAAGCTACTGTGTTTCGAAGCATCTCTACAAGGTACCCAATTTGAACCATCTTATTTTCCTGCCTCTGCTAACCCAACAAGTCGAACCTATACTGGTTCTCGCTCACTAGGCAACAATGGCTGGAAACCACCACCAAACAATGTTATCAACAACACCACTTGGTGCCCATCACCCACCTATGGTGCTCGCCCTACCACTCCAAACACTGCTGGAACCAATCCTGGTGCTCGGCTCCTCCACGGCCTTACCTTGGCTATTGTCAAATTTGCAAAATCCAAGGACACACTGCCAAGCGATGTCCTTCATTCCGCTTAGTCCCAGTTGAACAATTCAATAGCACTACTACAATAGCAGTACCACCTTCACAATGGCAGGCAAGAGCTCATTTTGCTTCCAACAATTCCAACACTCCAGCATGGTTTATGGACAGTGGTGCTTCTCACCATGTCACTTCCGACTTGAGCAATCTTTCCCTTCACTCTCTTTACACAGGTTCTGATGACATAATGATTGGAGATGGCACAAGTTTTCCCATTACTCATACTGGTTTCACCTCTCTCAAAACTCATACTATTAAATTTTCCTTAAATAATGTTTTGTATGTACCTAGTATGAAAAAAAACTTAATATCTATCTCTCAATTTTGCACTTCCAATAATGTTTCCATTGAATTCTTACCCTCTTCTTTTTTAGTGAAGGAACTTCACACGGGAACAACACTTTTGAAAGGTCTAACTAAAGATGGTGTGTATGAGTGGTTGATCTCCTCCCCATTATTTGCATTTTCTAGTGTCAAGACCACTTCGTCCGAGTGGCATCACAGATTGGGACATCCAGCATTTCCTATTTTGAAGCAAATAATTTCCAAATTTCAATTGGATTTATCATCTTCTATTTCTTCTCATTTTTCATGTAATGCCTGCCATTGCAATCAAAGTTATAAACTTTCTTTTTCTAACTCAACTCTTGTTTCTACTCAACCTCTTCAAATAATATTTTTGTAACAACTACTGTAAACTAATACAATGCATGCATAATAACGATAGAAAATTGGGCCCCAAAAAAACTTTCTTTTCATTATAAGTCATATGTCTTTTATACACAAAGAACGTCATTTACAAAAATGCCATTTTAAAAGACAAAACAGGGGAAACAGTGTAGCTATTGCTCCTCGCTTGCCGACGCCCCTCCGACTGCATCATCACCTAGATCCTGCATCCACAAAGGAAAATAACGGGGTGAGCACAAAATAATGCTCAGTAAGTAAAACCCTTTATCTGTCTATCCCCGTATGTATTACTCTTAATTCTTTCCTCACACTTTCTGTTGTTTCCTACTAAACGTCATGCCCTCATCTTACCGGAGGTACGGCCAGATGGCGTTCACACAGCACCATCCCACTCTTCATGACTATCGGGTGGAGTTCACATAGCACCAACCCTATCCTAGTGACTACCGAATGGAGATCACAAAGCACCTACTCGATTTTCGTAGCTATCGGGTGGGGACCACATAGCACCTACCCGTTCCTCATTACTTTCGGGTAACGATCACCAAGCATTAACCCGTTCCTAATCACTGTCGGGTGATGATCACAAAACATCAACCCACTTCTAATAAATATCGGGTGATGATCACAAAGCATCAACCCCTTTCTAATAACTAATCGGGTGATGATCACAAAGCATTCACCCGTTTCTACTACTTATCGGGTGATGATCACAAAGCATCGACCCATTTCTAATGGCTACTCGAGTGATGATCACAAAGCATCCACCCGATTCTCATAACTGTCGGATGATGATCACAAAGCATCAACCCATTTCTAATACTCTTCTCATTCACTCTATTCTAGCACTTCTCATTCTCTCTACCCTTAGAGTAGTTGCATCCACCTATTTATCATCTATGTGAGTTATATGTGGTATATAGATGAAACTCAGAGTCAATTGGCGGCAAATTTTTGTCGATGATTGTTAGTTGGAGACCGATATCAACTGAGATAGTGTTTGATTGAACAGAACGTCTTGTGGCTTATGTTTTCACTTCTACTTTGATAAAAATGACTCAATTTTGTTTCTAATATTTGTTCCCGCCGTCTGTGGCGGCAATCAATTTCTTATATATATAAAGGGAAAAATAATTGGCTGAGGCCTGAAGGAGGAAAAACTGTATAGGCTGCAACTTGAGATTTTGATATTAACGTGCATGGAAAGGATAACACTCACAGACGGGGGAACAAGAGAGGTGAAAGAATGAGTCAAGGCTATAGGCATAAGAGTCAAAAATCCTGAATTAATTAGGTTAATTTGTTTAACCACTTTAGCCGCATGGAGAGATGGTTGCAAATTAACTATATATTTTGAACAAAGTTATGTAGGAAGCCCTATAGGAGCTTGATGGGTGGCAAACCTTGATTAATAGATCATGTAAGGCTGAATCCTCAAAAAGAAGTCTTACAATATTTTAGTGTCGGAGTGTTTCTTCGTACTAACATTAAAAGCATCTATCAAATGTTTTTCATGGTATCTAAAATCATGTTATAAATCACATTTGTTAAGTTGGGATTTCAAAGAAAATCAGTCAATGAGAATAAAGATGGAAAATTTTATTCTAAAAATAGTTTTTAACTAGTTTACCTTCAGGAAATTAGGACTTTATTTTATTTGTTTCACGTACTGTCAATGATAATTTTCAAAACATTAAAACGCGTCAAAAATAATTTAATTATATTGAATAAAAAATTATCGATTTCATTATGTTAAAAATTATAAATTATATCATTTTTTTTTTTTTAAATCCCCTCTCTCCCTGAATTCTTGGCTCTGCCACTACTTACGCTGAATCAATAAAATAGTTGCAAGACAAATTCAAACAGTTAACTTGTTTCTTAGCCTTCTTTTTTCTGTTCTTGGAGATACTTTTTAACATTGACTATGATATAGATTTATATCCTGACAAATTTTTTAACCGGCCGATTCCAAGCTACAAAGAACTTGTCAATTGTGATCTGTTATTAAACATTTATGTGTATAATTTGTTCAAAAAGACCCATAATTATAAAACTCAAAAAAAAAGATATCGATCAATAATTAAATATAGATTTATTAACAATTAATTGTAGAAATATACAAGATCCATGTGAATGATCAATTATAAATTTTCGTATCAGAATTGTGAAAAAAGTTATTAATATATATTATTCTTTAATTAAATGAATAGACTTTCAAGTTATAAAACGGCGGAATGTGAATGATTCATAGAAGAAAATAAAACAAATCAAAATTCTGTTTTCCCGCTCCCTCCAACAACTAGGTCCTGTTTCTAGAATAAAGAGTACTATTATTAATTAAATTTCAAATATTAATATTTTTTGCACTGTCCGGCTGAAACTGAAATGTTAGAGTTTCCTAAAAAAATAAAAAATACAAATAAAAAACTTTAGAAATTGAAAAAAATATTATTATAAATAAGATTTAAGCTATTAACCTTTTTTTTTTTACACTACATCAAAATCTCCAAGATAGCTTTAAGTCTTCAAAAATAAATTGTTTTTTTTTTTTTTAACGACCAAGGGTATTGATCAGTTTGCACGTATCTTAACTAATTTTTCAAAATCCTAAAGTAATGGTCGAAAAAGAGTTTCAACGACTATCCATATAACTAACAGAGCAAATCCCTTATTTGTTGATTTAGTTGTAACTGGATTTTAAATCTTTTGAATATTTCTTTATCTGAATTGTATAAGTTGTTTTCACTGTTACTACAATCTAGGAGTTAGTTTTGCTGATTTAGTTTACAAGTTTAAACACTTTGTATCTATAAATACTCAATTACATCAATAGAACAAATATACCATTTCCTCCCAATTCTTCTTTGTTATGGTATCAGAGCTTTAAGATTTTTTTTTTTTGTTTTTCTTCTTCTCTTTTAACCTGTTGCTAGACAACGAGACTACCAACAACTCCCGTGGCAACTTTCCCTGTAACATAAATTCTCTGTATCAAAAGAAGTTTATTTCTGAAACCTGTTTAATGTAAACAGGATTGGCCAAATCAAGAAATTATTACCTTGTAAACAGGACCAAACCCTCCTTCTCCAAGCTTATTTGCGAATGAGAAATCATCCGTGGCAGTTCTCACAACACCCAAGGCAAATATTGGTAAGTCTGGTCCTTTTCCTGGATTTGTTGGGCTGACAATAGCATCATCAAACTTGTCTAACAAATGCCTGTTTGAATTCATGGGAGTTTCCCACTGCGGCAACTGCAAGTCCTCGTGTCTGTGGCCTTTTTTAGTACCTATAATACAAACATTCAATTTAATATGAACCCCATATGCCACATAAAGTAAAAGTATGACTTCAGAAATCACTTTTATAAATAAGAATACCTTTCTTTCTTCGGATCCTTATCATCATGCATGTGAAGATGACAAAGAGCAGAGTCAAAATGACTACTGATGCAACCACCGATATGATGAAAATCAACTTCCTTTTGCTCTTACTACCTTCACCAAAAAATCATATATACTTTGTCATCTAAATTATTTTCACTCAAAAATAATCATGCAAGTACGTAGAATGTTCTTGTCGATCTATTGTCATGATTCTATATTATATGAAGGAAGAAATACAGAATTTGTAACAAAGATAAAAGCATGCCTTTCAAATCGGACTTGGAAAGACGCAAGTACAAGTCCTGTCCGCCCTCGTCAAATATCTGAATATCCTGCAAACTGTCCCGCCATGTCAAGCAACCCAATCCTCTCTCATATGCAAAAGCAATACAACTGCAGTTTTTTCTGCACATGTCTTCACATTCATTTGTTTCCTGAGCAACCTCCAATATAGATCTATCCGGCAACTTCACATTAGATAACTTTAAAAAGCCATCTGTAGTGCTTCCGTCCTCGCATTCCAATGCTCTTTTCCTCACACACCCACCACTCCAATTTCCTAGTTTCCATTCCTCAGCAGAATTAGGCTCAAACCCTTTTAAGCAGCTGCAAATATCAGGACTCTTTTTCCAATTACAGCTCCCATTTGGACCACATTTCCCATACAATTGGCATTCATTGTTCGGTTGTGACCAAACAATGTCCCATGAGTTCGTCTCATTTCTCCAGTATGATCTCTCCAGCTTCCCAGAGGAACTCAACACAAACCTTGAAGGGGCAGACACATTTACGCTAGAATATGTACTGTATAACTTCCCGTTATCATTATCTTTAATAATGTTGAAGTTATAAAGATGAAAAGATGTCATTTCCGGTACACCTGAAAATGTCTGCCCATTCCAAATCCCACTTCTCCAATACGTAGTCAAACCGTTCCATATTATAATCTGCGCGATTCCACTGGGATCAAAACCTAGTGAGAACTTTCCCGGAGCTGGATTATTGTCACTCCTCCAATCTGTAAGGAGCTGGTTCTCACCCGTCATCAAATTCAATCCAAATTCCATATCAGCTAGGAAATTGTCAGTGGGATGATCAAAGCTTTGCCACAAAATATTATCATCACTATCACTTTCACTTCCATTTCTCAGTACAAGATTTCCAGTCTTCAGGAGCTCAAAAACTGTAGTGTTCGTTGTAAATGTAGCATTTGATGACCAATGTATGTTCGAATTACCATCAAGAACCACCAAGTTTCCATCTTCCCATATCCTGAAAATTCCTGAGAAGTCCTTCACGGGATCTTCCCTATTTGCCACCCAAACAGCAGTCTGCTCTTCAACATCGCCAAACCATATCCCAAAATATCTGTAAGTAGAATTCCTTGGACTAAAGAAACCAAGTTTAAAACTTCCATCATCTGAAACAATCACCTCGCCATCTCTGATATTCCTGGTTGAATTCATAGTTTCTGCATGAACTGCATGGCGAAGAGACAATGATAGAAGCAAGACAAAAAGGGAGCGTACATGGAACTCTACTTTCACGTCCATTTGGTAGCAAAGAAGCAACCGCAATTCCACGTTGTAACTTGTGATAGTAAGGTAGGGAACTATAATGTATATATCGTAATTTTGCACCAATAAAAGAAGGAGATGATAAATTGTTAGAGATATAGACTATTTCAACATTAATAGGTCACGCAGGCGCATTCGGGGGTCCTGTTGAATGATTTTTTTTTAAGTTATTAATTCCTTATTAGGTTTAGACTTAAGAATAAGAATCTTACTAGGTCTTAATCTTTTAAATCTAGTATATAAATACACTTTTCTCTTGTAATGAGTGATAACAATCATAAGACAAATTACTTTATTGTAAATCAGAGAGGTGAGATAATATTGACTCTGTTTGATGTAGTTTGTTAATTGAGTGAACCAAGATAACTCACGTGTAATTCTTCTTTCTTTTACTAGTGGTTTGTGTGTTTGTTATTTTGATTTCGTATCATATCTCTATTTCATTCATATATCACTTAAGGTTACCTTAGTCTTAATATTCTATTGAGTATATATTTTTGGTTATATCGATGAAATTCAGAGTCAATTGGAGGCAAATTTTTGTCAATGATTGTTTAGTTGGAGACAGATATCAACTGAGATAGTGTTTGATTGAACATGAACGTCTTGTGGCTTATGTTTTCACTTCTACTTTGATAAAAATGACTCAAATTTTGTTTCTAATATTTTGTTCCCGCCGTCTGTGGCGGCAATCAATTTCTTATATATATAAAGGGAAAATAATTGGCTGAGGAAGGAGGTAAAACTGTATAGGCTGCAACTTGAGATTTTGATATTAACGTGCATGGAAAGGACTAACACTCACAGACGGGGGAACAAGAGAGGTGAAAGAACGAGTCAAGGCTATACGCATAAGAGTCCAAAATCCTGAATTAATTAGGTTAATTTGTTTAACCACTTTAGCCGCATGGAGAGATGGTTGCAAATTAACTATAATATTTTTGAACAAAGTTATGTAGGAAGCCCTATAGGAGCATTAAGTGGCCCGGGTTGTGACACTTGGTGCTGCTTGATGGGTGGCAAACCTTGATTAATAGATCATGTAAGGCTGATTCCTCAAAAAGAAGTCTTACAATATTTTAGTGTAGGAGTGTTTCTCGTAGTAACATTAAAAGCATCTATCAAATGTTTTTCATAGTATCTAAAATCATGTTATAAATCACATTTGTTAAGTTGGGGTTTCAAAGAAAATCAGTCAATAAGAATAAAAGATGGAAAAATAAACCCCAAGGACTTAGTCTGGTTGGCAAGAAGGTTTGTTCCCTTCATTAAGCTTCTGATTTTAAACCTTAGAGTCACTTACTAGTTATCACTTTGTAACTTATATAATCCTTTGAGCTTGTAGAATATTCAATGGATCCCGGAGATTAGATGAGGTGCACACAAACTGGCTAGAACACCCCAATTACCCCAAAAATGGAAAAATAAAGAGTTTAGTACACAAGCTAGTTGTGGATGGTGGGGATCTAAATAACTGATCATATTGATGAGTCGACTGTGTAAGAACAGGGAAGATCAGGTTTTTGGTTTTGATCCTTAACAGAATTAAGGAATAAGAAAAGGATGTATTTAAAATTTGAAAAATGTATACATCCTATAACTCATAAGAGTACATTTGAGAGTTTCAATTTGTGTCGAATGCTGAGACATCTTACTTAAAATTTAGGGATATTATCAATTACAGTGCAAGCTTTTTTTACTTTATTATGGGAGAACAGAAGTTACAATTTGTTCAATTAAGAGACATCTAAAGATTATTTGTGGTTAATTTTAATGATAAAATGACTTAAATACTCTTGATTTTTTTTCTTTTTTCTTTTTTAAGTGAATTTAGTTCTTAAAACTTAAATTTTGAAAAACTAAAAAAAGACCAAATGCAATTTTTTGGTCAAAGGAAATAGGAAAAACAAAAATTAAAAATTAAGATATTTAAAACTTAATAAAAACTAAAAAAATATTATATATTTTATAAAAAGGGATAATTTAAATCTTTTATTTAGTTTTTTAATTTTTAATTATTTATTTTGTAAAAAGACTAATTTAAATTTGTTCAATTACATTTTTACCCTTCTATAAAGTTAATTCTAATCCTAAGTAACCGTTCATTGTCCCCTAATAGAATAAATTGTAACTTTTGTCAACAAAATCTGAAAATTTTGTACCCTAATTGATAGTATCCCTAAAATTTTAATATATATAAAGAGACAAACAAACAGTATAAAATGTAGTATAAGCTTTCTAATGAAAAACAAACAAAATATACAGTAGCACATCGGTCAGCTATATGTCAGTTGCAGAACCAGTTAAATCGCAACCCTTTTTCTTCAGTGGCGGAGCCGTCTCCGAAATTTTCAGAGAAACCCATAAGATTTTGTAAACCTATAATTACACCCTATATAAATTGCACAATGCAATAATAATTTCTAAAAACAAAATAAAAATGGTAATTAGATTATAGATAGTTAAGGCCCACATTGTAGAAATTTAACTGAACTCATTACATGAAAAAAAATTGTAAATCAATATCTTTTTAAACTTAATGAAATATAGTTTTGTTGTAGGACGAATCTTTTATTATCTTAAAAATTATATTCTAAAAATAGTTTTTAATTTAGTTTACCTTCAGGAAATTAGGACTTTTATTTTATTTGTTTCACAGTATTGTCAATGATAATTTTCAAAACATTAAAATACGTCAAAAACAAATTGTAATTATATCGAATAAAAAAATTATCAATAATTATTAAAATTTCAATAATTATCATTACGTCAAAAATTATAAATTATATTTTTTTTTTTTTTTAATTTCCCCCTCTTCACTTGAATTCTTGGCTCCGCCACTACTTACGCTGAATGAAATATATAGTTGTAAGACAAATTCAAACGAGTTTAACTTGTTTCTTTAGCATTCTTTCTTCTTGTTCTTGGAGATACTTTTTAACCTTGACTATGAGATAAATTTATATCCTGACAAATTTTTTAACCGACGGATTCCAAGCTACAAAGAACTTGTCAATTGCGATCTGTTATTAAACATTTATGTGCATTAATTTGTTTCAAAAAGACCCATAATTATAAAATTAAAAAAAAATGATATCGATAAATAATTAAATATAGATTTACTAACAATCAATTAGTCGGATCCATGTAAGATTCGTTATGAATTAATTAATTATGAATTATTATATCAAGATTGTAAAATAAAATTTGTAAAAAAAGGTTATTAGTATAATATTAATCTTTAATTAAACTAATAGACTCTTCCAAGTTATAAAACGGCGGAATGTGAACGATTCCATACAAGAAAAATAAAACAAAATCAAAATTCTGTTTTCCCGCTCCCTCCAACAACTGGGTCCTATTTCTAGAATAAAGAGGACTATTATTAATTAAATTACATATATTTAATATTTTTTGCGACTCTCTGGCTGAAACTGAAATGTGAGAGTTTCCTAAAAAAATAAAAAATACAAATAAAAAGACTTTTTAGAAATTGAAAAAATATTTTATTAAATAAGATTTAAGCTATTTAACTTCTTTTTTTTTTTTACACTACATCAAAATCTCCAAGATAGCCTTATAGCTCTTCAAAAAATAAATTGTTTTTTTTTTTTTAACGACCAAGGATATTGGTCAGTTTGTACGAACTTCAACTAATTTTTTAAAATCTTAAAAGTACTAGTTGAAAAAGAATTTCAACAACTATCCCTATTATCTAACAGAGCAAATCCTTTATTTGTTGATTTAGTTGTAATTGGATTTTGAATCTTTTTGAATATTTCTTTATCTAACTTTGTATAAGTTGTTTCTGCCGTTGCCTACAATCTAGGAGTTAGTTTTGTTGATTTAGTTTACAAGTTTAAACACTTTTGTATTATATAAATACTCAATTACATCAATAGAACAAATATACCATTATTCCTCCCAATCTCCTTCTCTTGTTATGGTATTAGAGCTTTAAGACTTTTTTTCTTTTTTTGTTTCCCTTCTCTTTTAACCTGTTGCTATGACAACCGAGACTACCAACAACTCCTCTGCTACAACAATTTCCAATACCAATGATCCACACAATACTCTGATAAGCATTAAAATTGCAGCTCAAGCCCCTCTCAAACTCACCACTAAGAACTATATCTCCTTGAAATTACAATTTCAAACACTCTTCATCGGATATGACCTCCTTAGGTACGTTGACGGATCAAAAGCATACCCGACTACAACTATCACTCAGAATGAAGCTGTAATACTAAATCCAGCGCACATAATATGGATTCAGCAGGATCAACTCATACTCAATGCAATAGTTGGTTCCATTTCTCCTACCCTTATTCCTTTTATCGCTCGAGCCAAAACTTCACGGCAAGCTTGGACTACATTAGCCAATACTTATGCCTAACCTTCTCGTGGACGGATCAAGCAGGTTAAAAGTCAACTCAAAAATCTCACAAAGGGCTTACAAACTATTACTGAATTTCTACAGATAGTTAAAACCTGAGCTGATGAACTCACAATCATTGGAGCACCACTTGATGATGAAGATCCAACCGAGACAATACTTGATAAACTTGGTGATGATTACAAAGAACTTGTTCGTGCAATTCAGGCCAGAGATAATCCGATTGGATTCGATAAACTACATGAAAAGCTACTGTGTTTCGAAGCATCTCTATAAGGTACCATACCTAAACCATCTTATTTTCCTGCCTCTGCTAACCTAACAAGTCGAACCTATATTGGTTCTAGCTCACTAGGCAACAATGGCTGGAAACCACTACCAAACAATGGTATCAACAACACCACTTAGTGCCCATCGCCCACCTATGGTGCTCGCCCTCCCACTCCAAACACTGCTGTAACCAATCCTGGTGCTCGGCCTCCTCCACGGCCTTACATTGGCTATTGTCAAATTTGCAGAATCCAAGAATACACTGCCAAGCGATGTCCTTCATTCCGCTTAGTCCTAGTTGAACAATTCA